CCCGCTGGGGCCACGTCCTGCCTACCACGCCCAGCTGCGCCCCGCAGGGGGAGGGGCCGTGCAGCCTGGGGACCCAGGCCGGGACAGGCGGACCCAGCTGAGTGGCCTCGCAGCGGTCACTCAGCATCTCTGAGCCACAGCTTGTCCACTCCCAGCTTGGACAGGACAGCACGCTCCTTTGTCACTTGAGAAGACAGGAAGGAAGTGGGCACAGGAGTGCACGCTTGTGATCCCAGCACTCTGGCAGGCTGAGGCAGGAGGGTCGCAAGTCTCAGCAATTTAGGGATTTAGCGAAACTGCCTTAAATAAAAAAAGGGCCAGGATGTAGCTCAAAGTGAGGGCCCTGGGTTCAGTCCCTAGTGCTGCACCGAGGAAAAGACAAGCACACAGGAGGGAGGCCCTGACCAGCACAGGACCCGGGCTCTGGACGCAGCAGGGACACCCAGAGGGGCGCGGGCGCGGGTGGGCACCCCGGGATGGATCGTGCTGCCTTCCTCTCTCTCCTCCCCTCCCTTCTCCCCGTGCCCAGCAGCGCTGTGCTGGGGAAGGGCTGGGACAGCCGAGATCTGGTCCCCCGGGAAGTCTGCCAGCCAGCGGGACACCTCCCTGCAGGGCGCAGTCCTGGGAACGGGGGCCTCCCACGCTCAGGTCCTCTTCCAGGAGGGGGCAACAGTCACCGCCCTCCTGTCCCCATCACAGCTGCCGGTGCTGGGGGGACCCTGCCTGATGTCTCAGCCAGGTGGGGACAGCGTGGCCCCCTTGGAGGTCTGTGTGGACCCATGGGGAAGAGGCCAGGGCCAGTAGGTGGGAGCTGTCCCGGGAAGGGGAGGCCCTCCCTCTGGGTCCAGTGCTCCAGGACCAGCACTGGTCCATGCTGGCCTGCTCGTACCTGCAGGCCCTCACCTTACACCACCCTGCACCTCCACCTGGGGACCAAGTCCCAGCACAGGAGTCTTTGGGGACCCATGCACACCCTACCCAAGCCATAGGACCACATAGCGGCAAGTGGTTCAGGCTGGCCTTGAACTTTTGTACTGATCTCCTGCCTCAGCCATCCCAAGTGACAAGTGTGCACTGCCACACCCGACTGCACAGTGGAATATTATTCAGCCAAGAAAAGGAACAAAGCACAGTCACAGGCTGTGGCGTGGAAGAACCTCGGTACAGTGACATCAAGTGGCACGGCCACACAGTGTGACTGCTGTTGTGAAATATCCAAAGCCGGCGTGTCCACGGGGAAGGACACAGCAAGCGCCTGAGGAAGGGTGGTGTGGGGCGGGGCCGCAGGAGGGGACTGGTGATAAAGCAGCCCCCAAAATGGCTGTGCCCGTGTCTCCGAGGGGGACCGGAGGCCGTGCGACTCACATCTCAGTGAAGCTGTCACTAGGGACTCAGTGCTCTGGCGCAGCACAGTCGGGCAGCAGGGAGGTCCCCAGCCCGCAGGGGCTCCGCCTTGCTGCTGCCTAAGTGACCGACAGCGCCTTCCTCTGGGAGCTCTGTGCAGGGGAGCGACCGGGCCTGCGGGTCTGTGTCTGCGCCCCGCGGAGGCGGCGGAGGTGTCCTGGGCGTCCAGGGTGGAGCGCATTTACGCGGTGGGTGGGCGCTGCCCTGTCGCCAAGAGATGACCCGAGCTGTGTGTGGAACGGGGTGCACCAGACCACGACGTTACGGGAAATGAATCGGACACACAGCTTGGAAGGAGAACCCAAGAGAGAGCAAAGGAAAGAGAGCCAACAGGAAACAGGGACATAGGTCTCTTGCAAATGGGAACCGAGCAGGAGGAGGAACGGGAGGCGAGGGGATGGAAAAAGGATTAAGAATTAGATGCGTTATGTGTGTCCCACTCCCCAGGAGGGACACGATCACTGCGTACTGCAGACACGTGCTGATCAAAATGAAAATCGCACACCTGTCATCCCAGCACTCAGGAGGCTGAGGCAGGAGGATCGACATGAGTTCAAGGCCAGCCTGGGCTACAGAGCAAGACCCTGTCTCAAAAACAAAACCATCCAAACAAAAGAGTTCGGCCATGCTAAATTGTGATATCAGGCAGTTTAGGTGAATTCAACTGTTTACTTGTACAGTGGACCCTTGACTTACGAACTCAATTCGAGAGGGGTAGTTGTAACTCAGGTTTGCCAATTGAAGGCTCAGGCTTCTCTACACAGTCTTCAACATCTCTCTCCTGCATGCAGGCAGAGCTCAGTGTCCTCAGAGAGACACTGGCCCAGAATTTCTCAACCATCACAAGAAAAGATGTTGTAATGTCCCTTCCAGAGCTCTTTAAAGGTTAAAAAAAAATTATTTTTTGAGGCAGGGTTTTGTAGTTCAGGCTGGTCCTGAACTCACGATGTAGCCTAGGCTGGCCTTGAACTCACGGCAATCCTCCTGCCTCAGCCTCCCGCAGGCTGGGATGACAGGTGTGTGCCACCATCCCTAGCTTTAACAGTTAAATCTGTACCTGAGACCATAGCTGGCCTTTGGATTCTAACTCAACACTTTGGTCATAAATTAAAACTAAAATTCTGGTCATAACCTAAGTTGTTTGTATGTCAGGACAGTTGTAACTCGAGGGTCCACTGTTTGTGTTTCGGGACTTCCTGTGTCTTCCAGGCTGGCCTTGAACCTGAGGAGATACTCCTGCCTCAGCCACCCAAGTGCTGAGATTACAAGTACATCACCACGCCCGCTTTAGTGCATTTTTGATTTAGGACAGTTTCCATTTCTAGTGTTTTTGGGGACTCAGGGGCCTCACTAGGCCCAGAAGCACACGTCTCATGGTCTTGGAGCCAGAAGCCCTCACCTCTGCTTGCAGTGCCTGTCCCTGGGCACTGAGATTGGCCCTCAGTCCGGGACCGAGCCCAGGGTGTGGGGTGAGGGTGTCAGGTCTGTGCCAGGGCAGCACCCGCTGAGCCCTGAGCAGCCCCAGGCACGGTGTGCGCCGGGCCGGCTGCTCCCTTCCCGCGCTGGCAGTCCAGGACAAGCACAGGCTTCTATGGCGGCCGCCTTGGCAGCTTCGTCCTGCCCCATGCAGCTGCCTGGTCCTCAACCTTCAGCCTCTGCGCAGCGAGCTGGGAGAAACCTCCTGCCCGCCTTTTCTCCCCTCCCTTTTCCTCAGGGTTTTGTTTTGGAGACAGGGTCTTGCTATGACGCCCAGGATAGCCTCAAACTCTGGGACCCTCCTGCCTCAGCCTTGGTTACCGGGAGCACAGCTGTGGGGCACCCGCCTGGCTGCAATCTTTCTTCTTCCTGTTCTCCTGAGGGGTTTCATTCTGGCCACGAGAACAAGGCCAACACAGCACAGCCGCGAGGCTGCACCGTGACCCACACCAGCCTCTCTCCATGTCCGGTTTTCAGCACCCGGGTGGAACCCAGGGTCTCACCCTGCGCTCCCTTCCGGTCCTTTTATCTTTCATTCTGAGACAGGGTCTCAAAAAATCGCCCAGGCTGGGCCTGAGCATGAGCCCTTCCTGCCTCAGCCTCCAAGTGCTGGGACTATAGGCACACACCACCACACCTGCTTTTATTTTTTTGAGCTACCGTCTGTGTTGCCCAGGCTGGGCCCAAATTCCCAGCACAAGTGGCCTCCGGCTCAGCCTGAGCAGCTGGGACACCAGGGGGCGCCATCGTGCCCGGCTCTCCCCTCCCCTTTGGCACCCTGACCTACACCCCAAATCTTTTCTAAAACTCTGAGACAAGGTCTCACTACACTGCTAAGTCGTCCAGGCTGTGTTCAAATTTGTGAACCCTCTGCCTCAGGCTCCAGCACAGCAGTGACTTACAGATGTGAGCCACTGCATCTGGCAGGAGAGGTGTCTTTAAGGGTTGTCTTTTTTTTTGCTATTGGGGATCGAACTTGGGTCCTTGCGCTTGCAAGGCAGGTGGTGGAACCACTGAGCTAAATCCCCAGCCCATAGGGGTTGTCTTTTTTTTTTTTTGGTACCGGGGATTGAACTCGGGTCTTTGCGCTTGCAAGGCAGGCCACCAAACCACTGAGCCAAATCTCCGGCTATTGTTTGTTTTTTTGAGACAGGGTCTCACTTCGTAGGTGAGACTGACCTGGAGCTCACTATGTAGCCCAGGCTGGTCTCGAACTCACACAGATCCTCCTGCCTCAGCCTCCCGAGTGCTGGGATTATGGGTGTGAGCCACCACGTCCGGCTCAGGCTGTCTTTTTGACACAGGTTCTCCCTAGCCCAGGCTGGCCTCGAGCTCATGGCGATCCTCTTGCCTCAGCCTTCCAAGTGCTGGGATGGCAGGCGTGCGCCCCCACCTGACTTTTGGCCCCCAGGCCTCGGGGCAGAATGTGGACATCCAGATCTGTGAACTTTAAAAGAGCTTTAATCTTTGCTCTCTGTAGGTGCAGGTCTGGGCACAGACAGGGTGAGTTAGCGACCCGGGGCAGACTGTGTGAGAGTCGCTCGCTCGGCTGGGAGGCAACAGACACGTGGACTCCACAGACGGGGCTGGGGGTAAAGTGACAGCGGGCGCAGGGCGCCGTCCCCGCCTGGTCCGGGTCTGAGTCGCTGCCGCTCC